ATTCCGTTCGCTATGAATCCACCTTTCCCCCTCCATTTGTTTCCACCGGAAAGTCGGATCGGTCAGACACTGTCTATCCACCGCGCATCGAGGCCACGCCCCTCTATCCAACCCCACCCTATTGTCTCGATTGCAAATTGTCACGGCAATATGGCGTCGTTAGGACTCTTCAGCGCGTGCAAGTTTCCAAAGGTGAGACAGCCTGTGCGCTTGAGGTTTGGTCAGTTCTACAATAAGTGTTGTTTGCAATAAGAGGAACGGTGTTTTGGTCTGTTGTCAGAGTGGCTTGCTTACGAAGTACTTTATTTCCTCCACAAACACTGGAGCAGTTCAGAAAGTTCTCTGGACGTGAGATCTGGCAACCGTCTAGTGTTTTGGTTCTATATTTTCTGTCTGAATGGACTCTGCCGCTGTTTATAATGGGACCCGGTTGGATAATATAGTCAAAAGCTATTGTAGCCCATAAAGAATAGAAAACGCGAAATAATCCGCACGAGGATTTTTGAAACACGCAATTTGGATCCCCGTCTGTTAGTATTAATAACCAAGCAAAAGGGTTTAATAAGCTGCAAGGTTGAGGCAGAGTCGTATGGGATTCATAGTAGATAACACTTGGAAACAATGGAAAATGAATAACTACAAAGCAGAAGTTTCTGATCCAAAATATGTAATTAAGTTGTCTTTTAGAAAGCTATTCTTCTGGTATATAACTTAATTCTGTTATTCAGCTTTGAAAGTTGCTCATAAATAGGGAAGGGTTTTGAATTGGTCTATTGTAAATATTAATGCATATACTGAAATGTCTAGATTTTTATTGCATTAATAGGCCGGAAAAATACACGACTTTTATTCTGTGAATACCACATATAAATAGGAAAAGAAATATGGAGGAATATATGTACAATATTTTCTCTGATTCATCATATACATCTATCTACCTATCTATCTATATCAATATCTATCTTTCTATCTATCTATCTATCTATCCTATCTATCTATCTATCTATCTATCTATCTATCTATCTATCATCTATCTATCTATCTATCTATCTATCTATCTATCTATCTATCTATCTATATCAATATCTATCTATCTTTCTATCTATCTATCTATCTATCTATCTATATCAATATCTATCTTTCTTTCTATCTATCTATATCAATATCTATCTTTCTTTCTATCTATCTATATCAATATCTATCTTTCTATCTATATAACATACCATACTTTTTTTTAACTTAAAATTTTCAGGCAAAAATGGTTGTTTCTTAACTTAATTTCATAAAAAAGAAATTCCTGGATTTTTAACGGTTTATTGGTCAATAAAACCTTTTAAATTTAAGGCGCAAGCCTTGAAAATAATATTAAAATGGGGATTACAAAGAAATTATTTTCATATCATTAATAATTTAAATATAGTTAAAAATATCAAATGGTGTACAGTAATTCTCCCCGAACTTTTTGCACGATAGGCGGAAATGAGTGATAACCGCAATAGTCAATTTACGTAAGTCTAGATGTGATTTCACATGTATATACATATGAATTATATTTAGTTGGTGCCAGAGAGGAAAGAAAATAATAATTTAGAAAAAAATGTTTCATAAAAAAAATCTAAGATGACATAAATAAAAATACCTGTACAGAGAGCCTGATTTAATATTTTTGAAATATATAATTTAAAAAAGGGATTTATGTATTCATTATATTTACTATATTATAAGAATAGAGATTTTTAGCAAGAGCTAATCTGCAGTCACATAAAAATTACTCAAGAATTTTTGGCGATGGACCTTGTAATCTTGGACCATGGTCAAGAAACGAGGACGACAACTCTAAGCTGGCAGCTCACCCTCTTCTAACTTCCCCAACACACCAACGGGAGGATTTTTGAGCATCGACACATTTAACGTCCTCCCTGCACGGTGGATCTTCAACTGCATCAATCTCGAGCTCATGACGTTGATAACAAGTTCGTTACCTTGACCACTGGACTACCACGGTCACCAAAGCACCGGTTATTATTCCGATAGATAGTAACTAAAAATGTGAATTTTCAAATTTCTAGAGTAGGTTCTGTAGAGAAGTCTTAGCTATATATAAATAGGCAAAAATCTATTGTATAGAAATATTTTTTAATAATAGGAGAATAATTCAAAACTCTTGACATTTTTTTTCCTTCATTTATTTCTAAGAAAATTGAATTTGAATATTTTTTTTATTGCAATAATACATTCTTAAATTAATTTTATGTGTATATTTTTATCCAGGTACACTATATATATATATATATAAAATTTATTTATACGCCTTTGAAAATAACTGCTCTGAACGTAGTCATTTTTCATTTCGGTAACAATTAATGTTCCAATATCTATTTAGAACTACTAAAATACCAATTTGGCGATAATTTTCAACAAAAGTAAATTTTAATTTCATAACTGTATCTGACATCATGTATAGGTATTTTCAAGCGTTTTTAAAAAGAGAAACAAATAATAATTATATATATATATAGATATATATATATACAATCATTTTCTATTTCAAAATTTCTTCTTTTATTTCTTTTATTAAAGAACAGTAAAAAGAAAGCATTAGAACATATTTAATGTTTCTGTACCTTTCATAAACGTTTACCTTTAAAAAAACCCGACAAATTAAATAATAGTATAATTTATCAGAAAGCGCTCCTGTGGGTTTTGTTTGTCAGTTTACTTAATTTTTCACGTAATTAAAATGAGAAAATATCCGTAATCGTATTAAAAGGAATTAACTTCGCGATCGAATGAATCTAGTTTTCATTAAGGTGTACTTAATCTTTTGAAAAAACATTCATTCGAGCTACATGAGTCGATTTCCGAGATCTCTGTACATATGAAAAGTTTAAATATATATAATAAAAGAATTCTTTGTAAGCGCCAACATTTTAATAATTCGCAATGAATGAAACCTCAAGAAAGAAACCTATTTGAAAATCCTTAATTGCTTTTTATCTCGTTAAAAGCAGCATTACTAAAACTTAATTTTCCCTTTAAATAAACACCTCATTCGGGCAATTAAAAACCACACGGATGATTTCCGCACGGAACTTTTTCTCCACAAGCATTTTTTCTTCTTTTTTTTCTTTCTTTTTTTTTACCGGAATAAAACTCCATTTCTTCTTTCTCTCTCCTTGGGCGCGAATCTTCTCACCGCTCGTTCACGCGAGGAAGCGAGAGACACTAAAAAATTGTCCCGCCTCATTATGAAATAATAATCTTTTAACGACCCATCTTTAACGCCGAGTGATTCGTTCGGCATTCCAATTTCAAAAACACCTTTGTGGGTCTTCCATTCACGGCAGCACGTTCCGAGTCCCTCGAAGTGTTTACGTGCTCACCGGAGTCGCCATTAAAGACTCATTATGAGGGCGCCCGCGTCCGAAAAGCGTTCATTAAAGAATTGTGAGATCGTAATTAGTAAGACGCGCGTGAACGTTTAATCTGGGGGGTGGGGGTGGAAGGGTGCGCTAATCCTTGCATAAAAGGGGCGCTTGTTGTGGTCTGCGTCAGTGGCTAAATTAGTGAAGGATACATCCTATCCCATCGGGAACAGGGAGAGGGATAGAAATTGCGGAATGATTCGCGATTCATACCTGTTAATGGCCGCATTTCAATGGACGGAATTATTCGCGTGATCGTGCAGATCGTCTCTGTTCGGCAGCTTCAATTTTAAGATATCGAACACTTCGTTTTGCCAGTTTTTCTTTCCTTTTTTTCTCTTTTCCAGTTTAATTTCTTAATTTAAACATGTCTGATGTTTTTTTTTCAAATCAGCACAAACTTAAATTTTATAAGTAAGTACAGTTCAACCCCGATTTAAAGAGTTTTTCTCTTTTCCTTTATAAAAAGGAAGGCAGAAACTCCTATTAAACGAATAACAAATCCCGAATTATTTCAATAGCTGAATTTTTTTTATATCTGCTTATGACAGAAAAAATTGGATTTTTTTCAATTCCTACTGTTAGTTCACACTCTCCATATATATATATATATATATATATTGTACACAGATTTTGAATCGTTACCAAAATACATTTTATTCATCCACATCCACTCAAGTTCAAATACATTTTTTAAAACTTGCAGTGGACGATACTTGATGGTAATGCAATTTTTAAGTATTAATTCATTAATTAAATTTAATTAATGTATAAATTGTAACAAATAAAAATAATAGTCCAACATCATATATAAAAAGGAAAATCGTTCGTTGTGCCCTGTAGCGCAATGCTTAGCGTGTTGGACTTCAAATCCAAAGGTCGTGGGTTCGAATTCCACCTTCAGTGGCCTAATTTCTGAGAATGCAACTTCTTTTTACTATACTATTTTATTGGAATAATTAAATTTAATTAATGAATAAATAGTAACAAACAAAAATAATATTCCTACACCATATAAAGAAAAGAAAATTGCAAGGAAAACCGCTTTCTGTTTTATCACTTGATAGTGTGATTCTGTCTTCTGTATATACATATATATATTAATTGTAACTATTTAATAAAAAGTAACTCAAATAACATTTTTCTTTGTTGACCAAAGTAGGAATTTACAAAAATATTTTTTATATTACTTATTTTCAAATACGAGCCTGTTTGATTTGAGTAGAGAAGTGTTTTTTTGGTGGGCAAGGGTGCAGAGCGTTATTATATTTAACAGGTGCAGATGAGTCATGAGTGTAACATATCATGTGAATTTTAAATAGGACAGAAAACTCCTTTTTTTATCTCATTCCACTCCACCACGCAAGAAATATTTTAAGATTTTTAGGATTATATTACATTTGATGACGGACTGCCTATCTGTGCAACGAAAGTTCAGGAAACTGTTGGTTTGGTGAAGTCAATGAATTGCGATTCTGGGGCAGCAGAAATCGATAATGATACTCTTAACAAAACTTACATTTTCTAATGCTTTACATTGTTTGGAAACTGGGAAAGCATAACTTATGCAGAAGGATGTAATTGACGCAGTATTTTCTTTTCTGCATTAACTCGAAAAAAGAACTCCTTCGAGAGAGAGTCAGGAATCAAAAGGATTATATCACAAAGTAGTATTTAAAAATTTCCAATTAACCGGCGCGTAATAATTCGTCAATAGTATTTTTAGCTGTTGAATAAAAAAAGTTAAATTTCTAACTGTGGATATTTTCTGTGTAGTTGCTTATTAAAGAATTTCAAAAAGAAAATATCCTAAGAATTCGTATTTTGTTTGGACCTCGATATTACGAAAACCCCGATTTAACGAACAAAATGTTCTGTCCCAAGAAATTCGTTAAATAGGGGGCCGACTGTATATTGACAATTCAATTTTTTTTTAAATTTACGTCGCCCTATGAAGTAACAAGAGGGCTATTAGCGGAATGCGACGAACTGTGTAATTTTGTGCCTCGGCTGAATGACGCGAACGACGCCTGAATTGATATCTCCTCTCCTATCTTCCACACTAAGCCAACCAAGGATACCTTAAGGCAGAGGTTCCCAAATCTTTTTGCCTAATAGACCCCTTGACATGTTTTTTTCAGTTCGAGCTAGACCCCCTACTTACCTAATATTAATTTTTTGAAAATTTATCAACTTAAATGTATTTTACAGCAGGTTTAGAGCTATTTACTTTAAAAGTTTAAAATGTTCAACTGTAGTAAAGTATAGTGTTTAAAACTTAAGAAAACACATATTAATTAATTAAATTAAAATTTAATTAATGCATAAAATATAACTGTTACATAAAATAACTGAGCAACAAACAAATGCTTTTAGAGGGAGGATACAATAACAAATTTTCAACATTTAGCATGTGTGTGTGTGTGAATCTTATCAGGTTTAACCCTAAATACCTTCTCTGTTAGTGTCCAGTCTTTTCCTTTTTCTTTTTTGCTTTGTAGATTGGCAAGCGCACTGAAACTCCTAAACCACAGAAAAATAAATAAAAACTCTCCAGATATTCCATAATACGGAATAATTAACAGGTATATCTTTTTAAAGCCAAAATTGTTGACATCCGTTTCTAAATTTTACTTTAAGATCTTCGTTAGTTCCTAAACCTAGCGCCTAATTCTTGTAATATGATATTTCTTTTCAAAATGATCATATGAATTCATTGCCTGCTATGGTATTACGATAGTGAAAACATTCTCAAATGTAGAATCAAAATCTAAAAAAAGGGCATTTATATAAATGTTGGCGACGTCTAGAATTATACTCCTTTATAGTAATTCTGGCGCAAGAACAGCTAAATGGGGCACTTGTTTTAATAAAATTTATGTTGTCACCTTGTAACTGCAAATAAGCCTCATTAAATATAGTAAGTAAATCTGTTAAATAGGTAAGTCTGATTTCCACTTGATTAAATTCCTTTTTAAAATTAGTCACGTTCTGGTTCAATGAGAGCCACTATCGTAGATCCTCATTTATACTTCATGGACCCCCAATATTTTTTTCGCCGACGTAGACCCCTTGCAGGTCATCATATACCCCTGGGGGTTTATATAGACCACTTTGGAAATCACTGCCTTAATGCATGGGCCAAAACGAGGCCTCTTATTGTTCTCAATTCTACTAGAATAAGATCATGATAAGAATGATTTCAATCGTCAGATGTTATTAGCAGACTTTTCTCCCCAAAATTGGGATTTTCATACTGTTTTCCAACTGGTAATAGTGGCCAGACTGCATTATTATATGATGGATGTCGTTCGCATCTGGCCTAGATCAACCATTATACACGAATACTACTCATTTAGCCAAAAGGCGGTAGCCAATCGAGCCGGTTTAAGCCTAAGTTTGTGAGATTGTAAGTTATGCACATTTATTTGATTGGAGTTATCGTTTGTATGAGTATGACAACGTTTGTTATATGCTACCTACTTTTAAGGGTAACAGATGGATGCATAAGGGATTAGGGCTTCAATAAATCTTAAGACATCCCAGAAGCCAAAGGGAGGATTTCGATCCTCAATAGATTTAAAGTGCAATGGCCCCTCTACACGGCGAGTGTACTTGGCCGCGGTAGCCTAGTGGTCATGATCATGGACTCGCGTATTATGGGTTTGAGCAGCAGTGCCTCTAAAGAAGGGATAACTTCGGTTTTGTTAACTCTGTCGAGGCTCAAAAGTCCTCATGTTGGTGTGGATGTTCGGAGAAGGGTACCAGTTTATAAGTATCTTCCTCATTCCTTTATGATGGTTAAAAATTGTGAGGTCCATCGCCAAAAGGTCTCGTGTTGGTTTATTGTGCGACATTAATAAAATCTCACTGACTCGCGGGGGGGTGTATATAGGTAAAAGTAAATAATCATTATGCAGAGAGGAATAGGATGGATCTTATTGTGTGAATAAAAAGTAGATAATACTGAATTATTTATTGATACATGCACCTTTTTTTCCCCCACGGTCTTATTTCATTTCATTTATTTATTCTGTATAGCTTTGAAATATAACATGGTCCAAAAAAGAGCCGCTTCTATGTGTTTCTTTATTATTATTCGGGTTATTTACCCTACCACGATTTAAGATCGTTGATAATTCTATGAAATGATGAAGATGAAATGGGCTTAATTCAAATGATGTCATATCATATGATAATGATAACCACATGTTTTTAGCTAATCACTTAAAAATCTCAAGTGCAGTCATAGTCACACGCATGATAAAAGCAATCATGTGTTTCCAGCCAATCAGTTCATGCGCTTCGTTGTTGCCAACTTTTGATCTTTTCAGAAACTTTCTCTTAAAAAATACAAATTTGTCCACAACAATAATGCTCAAAGGTAGACAAAACGCATTTCCTTTAAAGATACATCCATAGAATAAGATTTTTTTTCTTTAATTTTAAAACCTTTTGAAGAAATTTATTTTTTATAGCATTTGAACATTTTTACCCAATTATAAAATTTAAAATGTTACCCAAGTTCTCCATATAGAGCAACAAATGCAATTAGTTTAATGCCTGCTTTGAATTTTCGAATTCAATGGAATTCGTGTTTGTCTTTATCACGTGACCGTCATGAATTGAGCTAATTCTGCAGTTAATTGTTGATTCCACTTTTGAGGCAATTGAGCTTAGAACAAGTGTGAAAAATAATTTTTTATACATTTAAAAGTTGATTCATACCTAAAGAGCAGCCTAAAACTCCAATATGATCTGAAGATTTGTACAGCTGGATGTCGAAAAATATATAAAGAATTTACAAAACTAAAACAGCAAAGCAAAGAAAGAAAGAAGAAACACAGATTTTTCGATTAAAATTATCTATGTATTTAAGTAAAATATATCGGAGACCACATTTATCTTTACAAAACGTTTTTTAGACAGATCTGTCTATTGAAGTCAAACATAGAAAAGATCTAGTAAAACCTTCTTAGTAAAAACAGAGATTTCGATTTATCTTGTCATAAATATAAAAAAAAATGAATCAGTGAAGAATAATTAATTATTATTATATCTAAAGCTTTTTCTTAATTTAAAATTTTTATCTTTTTTTGAGACAATATCCATGCGCTCCTAATTTTATTTTGGTGTTTAACTAAACCATGCATGAATTTGATTTTATTGTTTAAGTTATTAAAATATGAAATTTCTAAATAATAAATATTTAAATGTGAACACTCAACAAATAGATATAAATTTATACAATTAGTTTTCCATCCTTTTTTGTACCCACGTATTACAAAATGTTTTTTTCCATTCCTACTATTGTAGTTCAATATCTTGTTCAACTTTTCAATAGTTAATAAAATACTTTCTGTTCATCCATTCAAGTTCAAATACATTTTTTTAAAAGTTGTAGTGGATGGCACTTGATGTTAATAAAGTTTTTTCAAATATTAATTCTATTTAATTAATAAATAAATAGTAACAAACAAAAATAATAGTCCAACAGAATATACAGAAAGGAAAATCGTTCGTTGTATCCCTGTAACGCAATGGATAGCACGTTAGACTTCTAATCCAAAGGTTGTGGGTTCAAATTCCTCCTGGGATAGCCTAATTTCTGAGAATGTGATTACTTTTATTACTATTTTTTTACTCAATTGCACACTTATTTCTGTTTGTAAATGGTAATTACATTTTTTCAAATGCTCTATTTTATGGTTCCAATGGTTCTTTTATGATATTTATTTTCTTGATATGTCGTGCTTAATGTAGTTTTCACATAATATAGTCGATAATTAGACAAATTAATGCACATTTTCTTTATTTTAGAAAAAAAATGTCTTTTTTTAAAAAAAATAATAAATTGTGTTAAGTGTTAAATTTGAAAAAAAAAATGTTTTTAGGGAGCTTATCTT